TTTTCTTGGATCTTGTGGTCTGAATTGCCCATTATTTCTAATGCCAATATAGAAAGACGTTTTATCTCGGATAGTAACAATTATGTAACCCATAATATTATTGTGTATGCATGTCTACACAAAGAGAACGATTTATTCAATCAAATAAATGTTTTTTTGGAATAGTATAAATAAATTATGTGATTGATACAACAAAAATATTTCTTTCTAGAACTAAGCCGCAAATAAATATTTTTATTTCCTTCAAACAAAATTTTGTTCGATCAATCGAAAAATTTGTTTGGATTATTCCAAAGAAGCGTTTATTTGATTCAACCAAATGGTTCTCTCTGTATAGAAGAATTGCAGAAAACGGCGTATTCGTTGCGCTTTTGGACAATATTGAGTTGTCTTTTTGATCGCGTTGCATTGCTTGTTATTATTTGCAAAAAAAATTTTACACAAATAAATTCCGGAAGCTATATCTAGACATTTTACACAAATAAATTTAATGAATTGATTTGTGCTTGAAAAAAAAAAAAATTTCTAATTCTTGAAAAAAACAAATTTCTAATTCTTTTGAACAAATCCGGTTTTAAGAATCAGAAACTTTGTTATCTTCAACTAAAACACGTTTCCAAACTGTTTCTTCCGACTAGCATTAAAATAATAAATGAATATATGAATGTATGATATGAAAGTTGTAATTTAATTTAGGAAATTTCTCACACGCGTTTTGAAACTATTAAAAAAGTTTCATACTCCTTGGAAAAAAATTACTTCTGTGTACATATACATAATTTTATATTTTGTTCTCTAAATTTCCCATACTTTCTTAAAATGTTTTCTACATTATAAGTATATTCTAACCAGGTAAAAAACTACTATGTTACTTTTTGCCTTAATGGAGGTTTATATTTTTGAGAAAAAATTCTCTGCATGCAGAATGTATTTTGTAAGTAGGTATTGTTGCGAGGTAGCTATTACGAAACTCTTGATCAACGAGCAAGTTTGCAACATTGTCGAGGTCCGCGAATTGCTTCGCTGTTTCGTGAAGAATTTCGATAACTACTGGATATTATTCGCGTCGTTTTATGAGAAATGTCGATAATTCGCAAATTTATAGCTATGGTCTTTCAGATAGAGCGCGAATCACCAAGTCGCTTTCGCCCTAAATTGCTTCTTCCAAAAGTAATGGTTTTACTTCCGGAACTCTATTATACAATGGTCGTAGTGTCACGCAAACTTAACCGTAGCAGTGCATTGCGTGTTATCTTCGATATTTTATTTATATGCGAAGCTTGGCTTTCGGCTGTCACTTGAAATCGTGGCTCCGTAGATTCAAGAACATTAGATTCTTTGGGGTACGAAATCATCGCGGAATTTTCCGCGTAGAAAATCGATAGCTACCTGCGACGAGGGTATAACGTATAATTAACAATAAACCAAAATTATAGAAAGCTCCTTGAATAACTAATAGAAATATTTGGCTTATAAAGAGCCAAGCACGGATGTCTTAGTGCCATTAGATATTAATACTACTTTAATAATATTAATATGATAGTGGGAGGATAATATGTTCAGCATGTCAAACACACGTATCGAAATTTTCTCGATCATTGTACGCGGCGAATCAACCTTCTACATTTAGACCGATCCTTGAGTCCAAAACTTTTATATATATATATATATATATATATATATATATATATATATATATAT